ATTATTTAATATTGTTCATGTCATATAGATACTATAATTTTCTTCAAGATTTTTATATAAATTTTCTACTATCTGCACTTTAACTATTTCTTTTTTCTGCTTTTTATTAGCTGATCCAAGTTCAACTAATTCCAGTTGGAAAATATACCAAATTTGGAAATCGGATTCTAGAATGATCCACATGCCGATTCACAAATTTGATTGGCTCAGTCACATTTTTTCTTACACCCTATTTTCTTGAGGTTTCATGGCATTTTATATATTCATTTTCCATTAAACAATATACGAATAGTTAGTTTAAAACGTCTACTTTCGATCATTCCAATTAATCTCATACAGTAAGTCAATTTAAAAAAAGTAAATGTGACCTTAAGATCGCAGTTTTTTATTTGCATTTGTTAGTTAAAATAAGTGTTCTTGTTAACCAAACTATGTTTTAACCGATTTTTTTGTAGTGGCAGGAAACAAGAAACAAAGAGCGAAAGATCATAGTTGTATATTCGAAGATTTAGTTGGAATTTATAGTGAAGTTGGGTTAAGCCCATGCGAAACGAAGGATCGCAAATGGTGGAATGCAAATGGCCTGAAAGCAGCTGAGCGACTTTTGCTTTTTCATGCTTATTTTCCAGAGCTTGCTAATTACTCTTTAGATTCCTATTCGCTTTGTTAAGTGCATTATAATTAGATCGTCTCATCAAACTGGCTTTATGAATCCCTTTCAGGTTCTTTTCAAGAAAATAAACAGTCTCGAGTTGACACCCAAGTAGATAATTAGACCATTAGTTATGCAGACCTAGCAGATAAGCTTGAGAGAACTAAAAGGCTTTTGGAAAGTGCTGAAATAGAAAATAGAGTTCTTTGTGACAAAATTGAGTGAATGTGGCAATATTTGGATAATTAAGAGAAAGAATTGAAAGAATTAAAAGACCAATTACAACAGGCTAATGAAAATATGAATGCATTTCGAAGTTTGTATGATGATCAGTGTGAAAAGAATAAAATTCTTACTGAACAGTGGAGTTCAAAATTTTCTAGTAGACAGAAACACATTGATTCATTTGTTAAAATAGTGGAAGTGAAATGCAAGCAGTTTTTTGATGAAATTAGTGGGTTTATTTTTTAAATTTTGATTCTTGCTTATTGTGTCTATAATTTTTTATAATTTTTTTTTAATATGCATTCTTCAGATTTATTAATTCAGAACAGCAATAGGTTTTCATTAAAGAGTCTTATGATGTATAATCGATGTGAATGGCTTAATAGACATAATCAAGTTGTCGTTAAGTTTTTGTTGAAACTTTGGTTCAAAATAATCAAGCTACTGGTGTCTTGAGTTATGAAAAACTATTTAAAACTGCTGTTGCAATTGATTCGATGTACGGTGCGAGATATGGAAAATATGTTTTGGAAATTCAACTCACTATCTCAGTCATCAAATATTCAGTTACATAGTCTAAGATAGTTATTAATATTGATAACTATATTATAAGTTCTGGAAGTTATTATCGATTCCAAAAATGGCTTGAGGAACTTTCAAAGTATGAAAAACCATTGCCAGAAGGTCTTTTATTTCTTGCATTTGATAATGAGCAAAGAGGACAAAAGAATTATCTTGATCGAGGATTTAATACGGTTATTTACCATATTGTTACTAGTTTGGTTGCTTTTAATATAGTGTTTTAAAACCAAATTCAACACGTCAATTCACCTTGGGCATGTAATACTCTTAGTAAGTCACAATGCAAAGAGCTTTTTAATATCAGTTCTTCAATGCAAAAGGTTAGTGACAAAGAATTATCTAACTATTTAATTAAGATTCTTATGTTGCTATCTGAAGAAAAGTCTTCTACTAATACTATAGATTCTCTTTTAGCATCTATGCCAATTGATGTTACTAAACTAAAGTTTTGTTCTAACTGCAATTTGAAAAATATAGAGAATCGAAAAAAAACATACCCAAAATGTAAAATTTGATTGCCAACGTTAGCTGAAATTCAAGAAGAAGGGATAGTTGAAATTGAAAAAACTATAGTTAATCAATTAGCTAATCTACTTATTTTTAAACATTATAGAACTAGCGATGAGCAAAATTTTACAAGTACACCTACGATCAGCTTTACCTAACCAATTACAGACCAAGGAGTTAATATTCTTGAGCTTTACATCTCTAACTTTATTAACATTAATCCTAATTCGATTGCAAGCATTAAACAGGTTCTTTTACATATTGAAGCTATTTTAGGTATTAGGAAAGGAGTTCATAAGTAAATAGTGATAACCTGTGATAGTGTTTCATACCATTATGCTACCAAGTTAAAAGAAAAATTCATCTGGTTGGTGCTAATACCTAGTCAACTACATGAAGAGATGAATATGCTTCATGCATATGTAGAATTAAATTAGTAGATTTTTTAAAATATCATATTGAACATATATTTTAATTATTTATTTTTTTTATTTATTTTGATACATATTTTTTTTATTTATATTTATTCTTTTTTTATTAATTTTATTTGTCTTTATTGTTTATTAGGGAAATCGACCTAAGACGGTTTGCAATATCTCAGGGTTATCAAACTGAAAATCAGCTTGCATATTTTAAAAAATGTGCTAATTACCATAAGGCGTGGGACTCTATTTGTGTTATATACTGTCAGGCAATGGCCATGGAACTTTTATGGCTATATGCAAAAAACTGTTCAACTTCATCTGTCAAAGGGTATCTTGCTTGGGTCGAAGAGCAGCAAGATCCAATTTATCAGATAAAATTTGAACAGATCATAATTGATTATTTTTGCACCTAAATATAATAATAAATTAATATAATTTTTTTTTACAATTTTATAATAATATAATTTTCTATTATAATAGACTTTTATTTACCTCTAAGCAATTGTTAATTATCAGAAGGCCATAAGAACCAATGATCTATTTTTGAAAAGGGCTGCTAAAAGAACTTTTTCTCCTATCTGGTCTGGAAGACATCACTCTATTTACCATCTAATAGAAGTTGCTGATAAAGTTCAATTGATGCAACTTCGTCCTGAAATTCGTAATATTGTGGAGAAAAATTGCATCATTTCTAGGTTAGGGATTTGAAATCAACATCAAGGATTGGACGCAATTTTGAAGAAGATAAATAAAACTTTAAAAGCTTTAATACCACCAATTCTACAGTATCATCATTGGAAAATAGCTGCATGTAACTGTAAAAAATTTTTTGAGGTAAAATTGATCTTACATTTTAATTAATCAAATTAATTACAGCTGCTTTATAAATTCCAGGACAACTGATAAAAATTGATTATACCGAATTCAAAAACTTATTGAATTCGGCCAATCAAATTTTTATCAGTTGTCCCAAAATTTATGAGACTACTATAAAAATTCCATACTTAAACCCAGTAATTTATTTTAGCTTAGAAATAATATATTTAAAGTAATTGGATATAATGATTATCAATCATTAGAACCAAGAACTTGGCCAGAATCAACGATGAAGTGTCAAAGGTTTCAAGCTCTTCTGCGGGGTCTCGAATTCGTAAGCTCAGTAAACTCAAAAACGACTTGTTACAGCTTAGGCGAAGAATATGAATTAGCCGAAAATTTAAAACATTTTACATCTCTTGCAAAATTAGCTCGACAAAATTATATTATTGAAATGTTTATTAATAAAAATGATTCATCTCAATTTAGGCCAATACCGATTACAAAATGAGAAGCTGAAGCTCAAGAAAATAAAAAAAATATGACTAAAGCCGAAATTCTGTTCAAGATTAAAACTTTACTTGAACAAATTGGCGAAGATGCCTACAAAAGTTATTCTGGATTAAAGTCAAAAAGGAAAGAAGAATTATTAGACATACTTCAGGAAATAAAGAGCTTATTAGATTCAGATAACATGTTTAACAACCAAGATTGTTTAGAAATCTCAGAAACAGATCAACAGAAACAATTGTAATTAAGATTTTGTAAGTGCTGGGCATGGTATTATTAAAACATATTGCCATGAACAAGCATTACATTTTAATCATACCATGTCTGGCACTTGCAGAATCCATTCTTTTATTTAATGTTTATATTCATAACCATTTTTAACTTAAATGTAAAAATAATTAAATATTTATTAATTATAAATCTTAATAATAATTTACCTTATCATTCCTTAAATGATCAATTTAATTTCAGATCTACAACGATATAGGCTACAATCCAGTAAAATTTGGTAGCTTGATCATGGATCAATCACAAAATGTGCAGTACAATTTGTCTGCAAAACCGTTTAAGAGATAAATACTTATAAATGATTATAAATGTTCATAAACATTCATAATTATTTGAGGGTTGCAAAGGGAAAATTTGTAATTGTGAGTGTTCCGAAATCAATTTTATAGAAACAGACTTATCAGATATATGATTCATTAAATAGTATTTATTATAGAATTTATCATAATCCATCAGGAATCTGATCACTGTTTCTGAAAAGCAGAGCTGGCAAAAACCAAAATTACAAGTTTTCGCTTTGCAGCCCTTATTTATGAATATTTATATATTTAATTTTCTTATTAATTTACTTTTTATTCATTACCCTGAGCCAACAATTTTTAGGTTGTCTTACTTGGTATATTATAGTGCATTGAACTTATGCACTATAGTTAATTCGATTAAACCACAGGTTAGTATCTATTTCTTGGTTTATGAAATTGATTTGAATCTATTGTATTAATGATTCCCGATAATTATCTGGGTTATTAGGTTTTGCAAATGCTATGCTCGATTTTATAAGACATATCATTAGGTATAGTGTTATTAAAATACAGTGCAAGGACATTATTGAATTATCATAATTGCAAGTAGGTAAAGTATTGGTGATTATTTATTAGTATAACAAGGATATATAGGATATATAGTAGTCTGTATCATATGATTTATGTATTTTAGACCTGATTATCCATATTAAGGAAGAGGTTTTTTTTTTTTTATATTTAGCACTAAATAAAATGCATGTTTCTATCATATTTAAGGGCATTAACATAATTGTTTTTAGGCATTACTTGAAAGGAATAGATAGAAAAGATTCAGTATTTTAAGTATTCTATATTACTAAGACGTGTTAAGATATATGTATGTTTTTATTCGATTTTTGATCCATAATGTACTTTTTTTTAATTATAGCAGGAACGAAGACAGATCCAAGCTTACGAATCATTTTTAGATTGGGATTTTTATTCAAACTTGAAAATATTTATTAAACGAAACAATGAGATGATTTTATATTCTTCGATCGCAATGAAATTAAACTTGACTATGAGGCGTATTCAACTACTGAATATCATGGGAAATGGAATTGACAAAACTAAAGATATAGTAAATAGCATGATACTATTATTTTGCTGTATTTTCGAATCTCAATATGGTTTTTACATGTTATTTTTCATCATTTAAATAATGGTATAGTTGAAGTCAAAAAGAATAAATGTATATATTCAAGTATCAAAAATTGGCTAAGGTGGGTCATACTAACGGAACATTTAATCTTGGCTATTGTTATTAAATGGAATTGAAGTTAATAAGATGTTCTGGTGTTATTAAAAGTTTGCAGAGATAGGTAATGTAGCAGAATGTATAATATTGGCTTTTGTTATTATGTATTTAAGGTAAAAAAGTAAAATTACTCATATTCATATAATTTATATTTTAGAAGCCTCTGCACAACTTTAAATTATGGTTTTGTACCCAGTACAAAGTATTTATTTCCATTTTTTTTTTTTTTTTTAAAAAAAAAAAAAAAGGGCTGTGCAAAAATAATTAATTTTCATGATCCGACAGGTCAAAATTCAAAAACTTGTAAAAATTTTTTTTCTTGTTTTGATACCAGGTGGGTTTTAAAAAAAATTTATTATATATAAATATAATAAAAGAACTTGGTTAACCAGGTTTATTTAACAATCATGTTATGACCTCAAGGAATTAAATTTATGTGACATAAAAGTTATCTTTTTTTACAATAAAATATTAAGCATTAAAATTTTAGTTGTTGCTTAATATTAATCATGTCTGAAAATACAAACTGAATTTTAGTTTATTTCTAAATTTTAGAATAATTTGGTGTATTCTAAAGTAAGCTTAAAAAGTTTTAGAACGTTCGAAAACCAATTTGAGTTATGAGTGCTATAGTACATAGTATAAGAACGGTTTATCAAAAAAAAAGATGTAAAAGCGATTGTTTAAGTTTGAGCCATATGTAACTGCACAAAATCGGTCTTGCAATTTGTAAGCCTATTCAGATTATGCTATTTCTCAAGTTTTCATTTGTTATGTAAAGATAAACTGGTGTTAGAAACCTTCGCTTATGGAATATTCGAAAGAAAAATCTAGAATAAATCTGACTGACGATCATTACCAAATAAGGTAAAGATCATCATGCCCAAATTTGGTATATTCCCTAACTGAATTCATAAATATAATTATGCAAATGTGAATGCTTAAAAAGAAGCAATAGATAACCTGGCTGATCATATTTGATTACTTCCTGATTTTTAATAAGTATTTTTTGTTTCTTTTCTTTACAGTTTTAAGCATACTTTGTGTTTCTTTTTAATTTGACAATTCTATCTTTATTAGCTTGTATTTGTGTTTAAAATTATTCTATTTTTTTATATATTTCACATCAAAACTGGAAGTCTGTTGTAATATTGTACATTTGCTTAAGTTCTAAAAGTTTTTTTTAGCTGTTTCAATTGCATTTGCTGCATTTTTTTGTGCTACTGCATTTGGTAGAATTTCAGGTATAGGGTCTTTTACTGAATAAATAGTAGAATAGGAAGGCACTAAGTTTTTTTTAGACATAAAATTTCTTAATTTCATTGTTTGTATATTATATAGATTAAATAGTATAGTCAAATATGCCTTTATTATATTGTTTATTTTCTTCATGCTTTTGGTTTTAATTTTGTTCCACTCTTGTGTTACCTCATGACAAACTTGTATATGATTAGGAGTACTATTTTCTGTCTTTACTATAATACTATATATATAAGCATTTGAAAATTCCCGATATTTGCTTGTTGATGAACTGTAAATCGAATTTTTATTATATTTTAGAAGTTAGAAAAAAAGTTTGGCAAAATGTTTTTTTTTATTTTTGTCAGTGCCTATTTTTTGTTAGTTGCAGAAGTCATTATTTTGTTTAGTAGAATTATTACCCTTATTTTGTCTAGTAAAATTACCATCTTCATTTTGTCTATTAAAATTATCAGCTGCTTTTTTTTTAGAAGTTCATATTTCTCTTTCATAATAGAAACTAAGATTGAGTTGTTTATTCATTTTAATGTCAACTTTGTGTGTTAAAAAAAAAAAAGTTGTTTATAAAGTAGGAAAAGATGGATGTTAAATGATGATTTTTTAATATACATATGCATAAAAAATCTTTTGTTTTAGTATTTATTAAATCATACCATATGGTGTTATACTAGCATGAGTTTTTTTTTAAAAAAAAAGTTTTTTGTTTTAGAATAATGAGAAAGCTCCTTTTGCTATATCAGCTTAATTACCATGCTATATACAATATAATTTACTTTATCATTAAATGAATGCAAAGTAGAATGCTGATAAAAAGTTAGACATGGAACTTCGACTCACATCTACATATGCATCTAATATAATAATATATTTAAAATATACTAACTATATGTATAAGTTGAAGTCTCAAGTTTGATCTTAATAAATATTTGACTTCTAAAGTTTGTACTGAACCAGATTTTCTTGATAATTTTTACAGAAGAATCTTCAAATTTTTAGGTCAGATGCATTGAATTTAGGTCAGTGTTTAGTTTTAGTTGTTAGCAAGTTCTATAGCAAAATTAACAGCTAGGTATTTTTACTTTCAGCTAACCAGTATTCTGATGCATTTCAATTCAAAATTTTGAAGACCCTCTGTATATTTTTCTTGAGTATTGTTATTTTGTTTAGCCAATCAAATTACTTATTTTGGATTTGATTTTTGATTGGCTATTTTTCTTATCTTATCTTAAAGTTGGAGGTAGATGGTTATAGTAAATTGATATTAGGTAATAAATGTTATTGCTCTAAAAGAATTATAATATAGCAAATAATTATAGCTAATTTATTGTTTAATAATAGTATTCTATTAAATTAATAAGTAGCAAATGATGCAAAAGTTTTCAAATATAGAAAAATAGCAAATATTTTTAAAACTTTAATGTAATTTTTAATATTGCACATTATTTTAATTTGTTTTAAATAATTATAATGTTAAGATATTTAAAATTTTTTAAAAAAATGTAAATACTTTTAAAATTTATCAAGTTAATTTAGAAATTAAGTTGTTATTTCATCAAATTTAAATACATTTTTTTCAAGCTAGATAAACTTTATTGTATAGCTTTTGCATGAATAAAGAAGTTTGATTTTATTTAAAATTTTTTCACAAGTTTGCAAATATCTTGAAAGCTTCTTAATTTTTGATTTATTTTTTATTATTCTTTATTTTTAATTTTTTATAATCATAATTTTTTAAAATATTTTGCAATATTTTGAATTTTTTTAACAGTTCATAATATTTTTGCATATTAATATAGTGATAATAAAAATAATTTAAAAAAATATACTATGTTATTATGTACTTAAAGATTTATTTTATTAAATAATTTAGATTAATAATTATATTTTTAGCAATTTTTAATATATTTCAAAATGTTTTGAATCATTTAAAATATTAAAATAAATAACCTTTCTGCTATTAGTCAAAATTTTATTTAAAAATAATTTTATTATATTATGATTAAATATTAATTCTATTATTAATTTTTAATTTTAATGAACTTTAAAATATTTTAAATTATTTTAGAATTTTTTGAAATATTTTGCATACTTTAAATAATTTTTAAATTTATTTCACAATATTTTTACTTTATAAATTTTAATAACTTTTACTATCTTTCAAAATATTTTGTGCTATGCAAATATTTCAAAAATTTTTTTGCAATATTTTAAATGTTTTTTCATAGTGCAATAATTTTGAAATTATTTTTACAATATTTTAAAATATTTTGTATTTCACAAAAATTTTAAAATTTCTTTTTGCATATTTTGAAATTTTTGCACTATGCAAAATCTTTTAAAATATTTTACATCTATAATTTTGCTAATAAGATAGTATTACATACTAGTTAGTTAACTACCTTTACAGCTATTATTATTATTCTTAAAACATTTTGTGAAAAATTAACTAAATAATTATTTTACCAATTTGATAAATTATTGATTTTAGAATAATCAATATAACATTTATTATATACAAAAATAGAGATACATTGGTAATGCTAATTGATTTGTAAGGCTTTAAATAACCTCTATTTATGGTGCTATGACAGATAACTAATATCAATATAATTCTAGTTAAGTATTATGCTTTAGAAGTATATTTAATTGAAAAAAATTTAAATAAATTATAAATTTGAACAACTGCTAAACACTTAGATGTTAGCAAATCTTCAAAAAGTCAGGTTTTCAATTAATATAAAGTTTCAAAGTTAAAGAAATAGATAATGTATTTATTTACAAATAAGCATTATATTAATTTTATTTCATTTTTCAATAAATTTAAAATGGTTTTTGTCATTAGAAAAGTCTATTTATTTTATTTAATGAGAATTTTCAAATACTCTTATTTTATTTTTCAATTTTAAAATTTTAAAATACAGTTAATTTCAAAATATATTACTTATTTATTAACTTTGAAACTTCTAATTTCAAAGATATAGATGCATTGAAAAACTTTTACAACTTGTAAGTAATCACATCTATTAAACACTAAATGATATAAAATATTTTAAAACTTTAATAAAGAAAAGTCTAACTAATATTGTATATTACAATTAGAAATAAAATTTTAGTTAGGATGCAAAAGTAGAAATTATTTAAAGCCTTATAATTTCATGTAAATTTTAATTTAAAATCAATTAGCATCTTTATATATACCAGGCTTTAGACTATCTTTGTAAATAATAAACATTATATTGATTATGCTAAAATCAATAATTTATTGAATCAGCAGAATAACTATTTAGTTAATTTTTTATAAGGTGTTTTAGAAATAATAATAACAGCTTAAAAATAAACTTTATTATATAAATCTAGGTTTGTTATATCAAGGTTCATTATATTAAAGTTTATTATATTAATTTTCATTATATTGAAGTTCATTATATTAGAGTTCATTATGTTGAAGTTTATTATATTAAAGTATATTGTAGTTAATTAATTGGTATTTAAAAACTTAGTTGTTAACTAATTATATTTGATTTGTAATACTTTTAGATTAATTCATTTATAATTATTGCATGATTACTGAAGAGCATAAGAATATCTTTGGGTTTCAAAAAATTATTCTAATATATTTTAATATATTGGTGCATTTATTTATAAAGAAATAATTAAGATTATCAATGATATAGGTCCTGAAAAAATAGCTATAATTGTATCTGATAATGCAACAAATATTTGTATTGCATAATAAATACTTTGTAAAAAATATTCTTATATTTTAAATATTAGATATGTTGTATATTGTATTAATTTAATTATAGAAAACTTGTGCAAACATGCATTTGTAACAAGTGCAATTCAAAAAATTAGCATTATTCATAAATATTTTACAAAATCGTATACCACATGCTAATTTTTAAAAGATGCAATTAAAATTTTAAATATTAAAGATAGTGATTTAAAAGATTATACAAAAATGTTAGTTTATAGTATGCGATTCTGCTAATTCAATTGTATAACTTAAATTTGCTTTTATGAAGGTAATATTTTTTTAATATTTATTTATATTATGAGATTAAATAGTCAACTTTAATCTAAATTAAAAGTTACATAATGCATATAAAATACTATAGTTGACTCTTTATAAGTGCACTTGTCAAAGAAAGTTAGCAATTTAAATAAAAATAAGGATATTGATAATTGTATAAAAGATCCAACTTAGAATTTACAATTATAAATGCATAGTATAGATTTTATTTGAAAGATTAGTAAAAGTGAATTTGGGTTTGTATTTTTTGCAATCTTGTTGGATGATATTCAAAAAATTAAAAAAATTAAGATAAATAAGTATAAAAAGCATATAAACTATCTAGCACTATTATATATAAGACCTTGTTTAGTTTTAATGCTAAGAATAGCCTTTAGGTTTTTTTAAAATAAGTAAGTTAATTATTTATTAAACAGTTTATTAAATATATATTAAACTAATTATATACATTTATATAGTTTAATAATTATATAAAATATATACTTGTAAGTAACAAGCTTAAAATTTATGAATTAACTACAAATACAGAAGTAAATAAATACTTTATGATATTTTAATATGCTGATAATAAAAACCTTTACAAGTTTTTAAGTAAAAATTTGTGAGAGTGTGGCAACTTAGTGAAGTGGATAAGTTGTCATACCCCAAGTGGTAGGTTGTGAGTTCAAAACCTACTAATGGCAAAATTTGGATAATCACCTATGTAATATATAGATGGTATTATAGTGACAGCATTCTGTTGATCAATTAGGATAGGATACCTGTAACTATGGTCGTACCAGCATGACTGGCAGGTCTGGAGCATCTGTGTAATCTGTTACACAGAGGAATGCAAACCAGTACCAGGTGGTGCAAACCTAAAATAAGTCCTCGGCCCATGTAAATCCATAGAACTGAAAAGCCAGAGCCTATTTGGAAATTCTGAGCAGAGAGGTAACATGGATCTTTGACAGTACTACTATAAAGGCTAGATT